CCATCACCCGGCTGTTAATAAGACAGGCACACCCCTGCAGAGTTTAGAGCAAGTATTTCATTGGGAATGGAGTCAGTGATTAAACTCCTACCATCAACCAAGGGCTCCATCTAACAGGCCAAGCACACGGAGCTACCTGCAAATACCAAAGCCCCCAAATCAGTCTTTCCACGGACTTTTCCAAGCATAAAGTCAGACCTAAAGCAGATAAGCTCTAACTTCAACGTCTTTAAAGTCATCCATTACATTTTAAAGGTTGATTTTAGTCTCCAAAGTGTCTACAAAGATAGCCATTACTTAACAGAGCTATGTGAACATTTTGGCAATACACACTAAATACATTTGGAAAGCCTTTATAGGATTATATTGTTCATAGAACAGTAGTCTCTCAAGTTTTTTGGTGATTTTTTTTTCACCAAAAGCTAACCCATATTAGAAATGCTGAATAATTTGATTTCAGCATGTATTTTTAGGATTTAGAAATGACCTTTCAGAACTTTTACATAATTAATTTTCAAATGAAGCCATATGACTCTACTTAACAATGAAAAATAAAGTGGAAAACAAAAAACAGAAACACTCTTTAATCTTTATATTTACCTACAATCTAACTTTTTGGTATTCTTAGGTATATGGTAGTTTTAAATCCAAACTGAAAACATGCAATTTTTGTATTTCTGACCAATAAGAAATTTTAAACACTTCAGGTTCAAACATTTAAAGATAACTTTTAGAAGTTAAAAGGTGTTCAGTTTTTTAGAAGAGTTTTCCAAACACTGATTTTGAATGAATTTATAACAATTTTTGGACAAGTACCATTGAGTATTTAGTGCTACAGATAAGGCTACCACCTTGCAGTCTGAGACATTATGCTCATTATCCATACTAATAGCTACAGAAATTTTTGAAAACAAATTCAGAGTTTGACATTTCTTGTTTTTCACAAGCTTTTTGGCAATCTTCAGTCTTTATGTATATTAACACATGCAGTGTTAGTTAACATATTAATACTAACACATGTAAATGCATATAAACAGAGGGTTTTTTTGGTTATAATTACTTTCATCAACACTGTTGAATTCCATTCTGTGCTAGAGATTTTTATATCTACCCCTCCCTTTTATGGGGATATAAAATAATATTACGGAGAGTAAAAATGACGACGTCTGAATATTTCCACCACCCTTATCTCTTATAATTATCAGTCACTATCGGAATGGAAGGGGAATCATACATTTTTTTATATGGTCTAGTTAATTTTTAGGGTAACTGCACAGTTGACTTTGCTTTATTTTAATGTCCTCAGATATATACATACTAAAAAGTGAAATAATGTGTTAAAAAAACAGAAAAAGAGCAAACCCAGTGCTGTCAAATTGGACAGTGAGGATTTTAGCCCGTCTTTTCTCCTCCCTTCTATCTAAGTTTAAGCAACTGGTAAGATGGAAGTGATGCAAAGCTGAAAGGAAGGAAGAAAAGCACATGGAAAAAAAGCCACGAGAGGTGCTCTAAGTCCGAGAGACCTCAAAAGGTGTTTTCCACCCACCGTGGTGACTCATGACCTGCCCGGCAGCCTCCATGCTGACATTCTGCAGATAGTTGTGGCAGCGCTCCTTGTGCTCCTCCAGCGAGCTGCGCTGCTTGTAGCTCCGGCCGCAGTAGTTGCACTTGTGAGGCTTCCCCACTGCGGAGAGAGCGAGAGCGTCAGGTCACATCCACTGCAACCCGCTTTTGCTACCAAAACAAACAAAAATCACACCTTTGCAACAAACAACGCCCGCCGTGGAAAGACACCTAAGAAAGGTCACTCAAGACCCAAACCTCTTTCCCAGCCCCCTTCTCCCACCGCATACAACTCCTCCCACCCGCCGGGTGCTTTGCCCCATCCGTTCTTCACACGAAGGTGCAGTAACAGCAAAAGGAAAAAGAGGCAGACTTGTTGGTCGCAAAGCAAGTAAACAGATGACAAGAGGGGAAAACAAACCAAACAGCTGAATCACACCCCAGCTCTGCCTGCGTGTCACCCAGTCTCATGGGAAAGAAACTTCTGAGATGTTTTGCCCGTGGTGTCAACATTTTGCCTTCACAAAAAATGAGCCGCCCCAGTGGCCTAATTCTGCTCCCAGCTGTGGGGAAACCCATTACGCGACCCGGAGGAGTAGTTCTTCCATTGAGAAAACTTTGCCAAAGTTACTAAGGGAAGGTTGGAAAAGAAAAGACAACAGAAAGTAACTTTGGTAACAGCACTGTTACATGCCAGAACTGAGCTGCCACCAGTAATTTACAGAGACTGAATAATATTAAAGTATATACAGTATAAATAATAAAAGGCCCCGTAGAATGAAAATCAAGCCAGATGAGTGTAAGTGTACCTCCAAATTTTAGGGTTATTTTGTTTCACTCGGCAGCATTATAAACAAATGGCAAATGCCTCGTAATACGTGCAAAACCTGGCACCAGCTTCTCATAAAGTATATCCTTTTCATAGCATGTCATTAAAAAAACCACAAGAATGGCCTAACTCGAGGCCAGAATGCTAGCCAGAAGTATATTTTGCCAAGCCATGCTAATAAAGGCTTTTAATATAATTTAAACTTGTAGAACATGAACATTTATTCTCTAATAACTAAAGAGCTATTAAGTCAGTATTGCAAGTCTAGTAAAACACCATTAAATGCAATTTTCAGAACTGGCTGAGGAATGGGGAAGGTCAAACTTCTTCCAGACTTTTGGAAATCTTAGGTAAGGAATTTTATTTCTGGCCAAAGAAATTGAGAACATCCTCTGTTGGATAATATACATGTTTCTATTGGGTTTGTCCCAACATTGAAAGCATTTCATGGTCATTTACTTAATGAAATCCAAGCTCTACTAATTGCAGCCAAAATGCACCGTCACCACTGGGATGGGAAAATGCAGAGGAAACTGCTGGGAGGACACCTGCAGCGAAGAAGAAGCTGGGCAAGGACTCCTTGCACTGGGGCTGAAGCCCCAGACATGAAAGACTCAGAGTCAGGGAAATTCTCTGGGGCCTCTGCAGGACTAGCACGTACCACAGTGTGTGCCCCATGGCACCTAAATGATGGAATACAAAAAAAGCCTGAGCCTCTTGTATAAGAGCTGGTCAAAAGGTTTCAAATGTTTTTGTCTCTGAAAAAAGGGATTTGGTGAAATGAATGGGTTTGCAGGAAGTTTCTGTTTTTCTCAAAAAGTTCCTGTGTGCAGTTCTATGACACAAACAAGTTTTTCCACCTAGGAAAAAAGAAGCTGCTTTTAATAAGCATCTAAACTGTGGATTTATTTCTCTCGCTTCATTTTGAAGTAGGGCTCCGGAAAGCAGTGGATCTTACACCAAAAAGTTGTTGTGGTCTTTATTTTATTTTACTCAGTAACAGCCACTGTAGCAGTGGAGCTGATACTGGAAATCTCAGTGGAGGCCAAGCGTAAGGCTCATTATCATTCCCAGAGTAACTGCCCTTCATGAGAATCATCTGGATCAAGGTTCAGCTTTTTAACATAAACCAGCCATCTCATTCTGGAAGCACCTTTAGGAGAACACACTGATGGCTCCCTAGGATGGGAAGACTTTTATCATCCTCATTACAATGCTTCATCATGCATCTAGATGGCATCAATGTCTGTCAGTCTGACGCCTTTATTAGAAAATAATTCAGTGTCTAATCAAAAAAGTCCAACGCAATTGAAGGTATTAAGTCAACCGAGCAAAGCAGGGCTGAATTAGCCCACCTACTTCGGCCACACCAGGTTATCAAGCAACTTGGGTAAACTTTAAGGGAAAAGATGACTGCTTTCAGCTATTTAAGAGGCAACTACATATATTATCACTTAGCACAGGGAAAGATACTGCTACGAGTTCATAGTAAAAAAAAAAAAAAAAAAAAAAAAGGATTCAACAAAAAAAAGTTTGTATTACAGCTCCTCAAAGGGTTGCTCCTTGCATTGCAACTATTTCAGAAACTATTCGCACACAACAAGGCTGAGCTTTTCCAATGATTTCTGGAATAGCCAGCTACCTAAATTCCATCAAATTTCAAGGTTCACAGCGATGATAAAAACTAATGATAAAGGCACAATTTCTACAGGCAATATGGGATTTGAGGAATGTAACTCCCCAAGGAAAGAAATACTCCAGCACACACACTCCTTCCTCTGGGGAGAAGATAAGAGAATAAACAACATGTGACAAATGTTAGTCATGCTACCCAATACACAACTGGAAGCTGCTCAGACACAACCATCAAGAACAATGTTTGTGAGCTCCAGGATTAAATACAACTCCCTTGAGTTCATTTCCAAGTTCTGTCCCCCCTGCTCTACAGATCCAATTACATCATAGCTCCACACATGTAAAATCTGATTTATATTATAAAATCACACAAAGTGATGGTGACTTGGGTTGCAGTGCAATTACCAAGCCAGACAAGAATGGAATCAGTTCTGATAGCAGCAGTTTGTGTCACCAGCAATTCTCACAGCCTGTTTGGTAAGAGGTGCAGCTAGTCAAGGTAGCAATTATGGTCTGGATTTTAGAAACCTTGTCATTATGACAAATGTCAAGTCATTGAAGTAGCTGCAAACTTTGTCTCACTCTCCAAGTAACTAATGACAAATATATCTATCTATTTGTGGACACAGATGTTGCCAGTGGGTGTACATTTTTCCATATTTCATATTACCCAACAGACAGCTGTAGCGATGTATTGAGAAAACTCAACTCCAGTGTTCTCCTCAACAGCATACTCTGTTCTATATAACAAACCACCACATTAAACCACATGACTGCCACGAGAGATTTTAGCCTTTGTCTAATACTGTATAGCAGGTAAACTTTAATAGTCAAAATTTGCACACACACACGCACACCCCCCCAATGTGTGGCATGAGAGACTGGGCACGAGCAGTCTTGGTTTATAGGCCATTGACTTGAAGGCAAGGAGCTCAGCAATGCTATAGCTTACCAAAATCCTCTCCAAGCCCCCACTAAAAAGGCACGTCTTTTCACCACAGAGGCATTTCCACTGTGAAGCCAGTCAAAGTTTGGCTCAGTTTCTTGGTATAAAGCTCTCCGAGATCCTCACTGAAGATCTTGTGCATGGACACCACATTCGGCACTGTATGTCACCACCACGGCCAACAGTAGCAGCACCCAAGCAATGTGAGTTTGGAAATCCCTGTTTTGGCATAATTATTACTTTATCACCCTTTCAAGGTACACAATCAGATTAAAAATTACCATCACTCATTCTCATAGAAATGACACAATACAGCGAATGCAAACAAGCCCAAAATCTTGAGAAATCTTCAATCTGTTGTTGAACTGGGAAAGACCAGGGCACTGGGCAAAACCCAGCAGCCATATCTATGAACCAGCTAACTTGAAGAACACAAACCCCCACTATATTTCTTACTGAAATGTCAGAATTTCCATGCATTTAAGCTCCGATTCATGCAGATGACAATGTGGCACAGAAAACCCACAGTGGAGTCTCAGCCTCAAATGGAAAATATTATGACAGTCACAGTGAAAAAGACATTTAAATTTGAAGTACAATTTTTACCATGAAACAGGTAAACCACTCATCAAAATTCACAGAGAAAACAGAGTTTGCTTGTGAAATTAAAATGCTTATGTGGAGGGAGAGTGGGGAAGAGGAGGAGGAGAACATATAAAGCAAAGTGTTTCTGAGTTAGGAATACTTTGAGTCCTGTGGGTGAACTTTGATAGCTGAGAAGTCTGCGTGCAGCGACAAAAAAAATGGTGTAACTCTAAGGTCAATATTCAAGACAGAGAGCAGACTTGGGCCCAGGGAAACTTCTTTAAAGTCATAAAAAAAGGTCAGTGAAAGAGAAAGAGCCTGTAAGGCATTTGCGCCGCATTCTGTTCTCAAAAGAGATGGGAGCACGTAGCAGAATATAAAGCAAGTCAAAGGGAAATAAGAAGGCATCCCAGGTAATACCTTGCCATAAGCATCTAACGTGAGGAAGGCTTACAGAACAGGTTAAGAGCAATGATTCACTTCAACAAGTTAAAATCGTGCCTCCATTAAGACCAATGACAAAACAAGCACCGCTTTGAGCAGTCAGGACTAAGCCCTCCCACATTTCCCTGTTTCGAGTACCACGTTCTCCTCTGCAGCAGCACAGAGCAGAACTCCTTCCTGTCCCCCTGGCCATGTCCCGAGTCCCTGCCACAGCTCAACGGCTAATGCCACCAGCTCACCCAGCAGAGGGTACTACTACTGCCGTGTGATGTCTGTCAGCCTAACCCAGGGACTAGAGCCTTTGCACTGAGCTTTGCACCAGACCTCTATTATTTTTGCACTATTGCCCCATCAGGGCCTTAGAAGGGAAGCTGGCCAAGGTTGCTGACAAGTGGCCATCTGACATTGGCTGCTTTTGGTCTGAGGAGCTACCTGAGCTATCTCCTCTGATAGCAGTGCACCAAGCATGACTTAGTTCTGTAAAACCTGAACTCCCGCTCAGTCCCTAGCACCCCAGAGCTAGAGGAAACCCCAGTAACTCTGCAATTGAAGCTTTCTGAAGAAAAAAGTTGTTAAAACATTCTTTTGGGCTGATATTTACACATATCAGTGAGGTTGCAGAATTATCCGGCAAAATTATAACCAGTATTATTTCATCCTTCTTCCCTAAAACTGGAGGCTGCCTGGGAGAC